TAACCCTTCATGCTAGGGCTGGGACCCAAAATTCATATCTCGATATTTTTTAACTGGATGGCGATATACGATATATATCTCGATTTTTTTTTTAAAGCCATAAAGTAAGAACAAAAAGGGAGTTCATATTCAAAGCTGTGTCCCAGATGTTACACAGGCACTTTTATTAACATACAGCACAGATGTACATGAAAACAACTACTCAAAAATAAATTATGAGCATTTATTAAATAATAATGCTCCATAAATAAAAGAAAACAATGTTGTTTTTGTGCATAACAAAGAGCTCACAACTGTGCAGTCAGAATGTAAACTAAAAGACGCTGAGCATAATAACAAAGACAGATTTCACAGCTGCTCTGTTCCCAAGTTTGTGACTGACAGCCTGGAGTTTGAAATCCGCTTCGTAACCACGTCTCTTAACAGGTGCCATTTATGGTGCTTATACACACACAATACGGTAATATTACGCTGAAGCACAGTACGTATCGCTCCGCGAGGCTCAGCCGTAATGCTCCGACAATCCATCAAGCGGTGCAGCTCCGTAGCTGACCAAAGCCGTACTCAAACATTTTTTGACAGATTGCTGAGCGCCGTGTACCACATAAAATCGGTTCGCGGCCATCAAGCACAACCAGAATTCATACATAAGGCGCGCTGTCAACTTTTGAGAAAATGAAAGGATTTCAGGCTGTGCAGCGCCTCTGGGCTGCATGGCGTTAGCTCGGTTAGCTTGTTAACACGTTGACGGCGTCCAGCCCCACGCATGGGGCGATGCGCAGTAACTCGTTAACGGAGATTTGCCGTGTCCATCATGTCGCTGCCTGCAGGTGAAGCTATGGGGGAGGAGGGGGAGTTGTGTTCAGTGAAGGATGAGGCGGAGTAACGTTGCGTAAAGACGAAAGTGGACGAAAGAGAGGCAAACCTGCGGCTCCACAACTATAATTATAACGTAACATAGACTATATCGATATAAAGGATATTGTCACATCTTATATCGCGTATAAAAATATATCGATATTTTTTTTTAAAAAACCTCAATATATCGCCCAGCCCTACTTCATGCTTATACATATATCGTTTTTCCAGCCTCTCTTCTTTTCCCCCAGCGGTCCGACTCTCCTCACGTTTAGAAGCACACACAGGAACAAAAATACAGAGCCATCACAAAAAAATGTGCTCGGTATGAATAAATGAACGGTGAGAGAGGGGATATGATGTCTCAGAGGACCCGATTTTTTTCCAAGATGGAATGCTTGAAATGGACTTTAATTATTAATCATCAAGAAGAAAGGCTGAAATAAAGAAATAGGGACAGTGGAAACTAAAAGAAAGTCGACAGTCTACGGCAATGCTTGCAGCTCTGCGAGGCCGGGCTAAGTGGCACTTTCACTGTAGTTTCATATTATAGCATGCTAATATTTTTGAAAACATTTCTGGTATTTGATAATAAACACAAGTAGTACATATAAACAACTTATGACCTCAGATGTTCAAAATTAAAAATAAAGCACCCAGTGTCTATTTGGGGCGATCGTGGCTCAAGAGTTGGGAGTTCGCCTTGTAATCGGAAGGTTGCCGGTTCGAGCCCTGGCTTGGACAGTCTCGGTCGTTGTGTCCTTGGGCAAGACACTTCACCCGTTGCCTACTGGTGGTGGTCAGAGGGCCCGGTGGCGCCAGTGTCCGGCAGCCTCGCCTCTGTCAGTGCGCCCCAGGGTGGCTGTGACTACATGTAGCTGCCATCACCTGTGTGTGAATGTGTGGATGACTGGATATGTAAAGCGCTTTGGGGTCCTTAGGGACTAGTAAATACAGGCCATTTACCATTTACCATATGGAGGAAAATTAACAGCCGCTTTTCGAGATTATAGCGCACCAGCTGATTGAAAGAAACACATCAGCACAATAAAAGTACTGCCACCAGTGTAGACAAGTATCTGAGGTTCATCCACCTCTGTAGATGCAGTGATTAAATAACTGATCGGACACAGATCAGTACTAGACCACTGAAGAGAAAGGAGACCACTGTGGCTACAATCACCATGAGGCATCGCTTCAGGTGACCAAAAATATCTGACAGACAGTTCATCCCACCCCTCACTGTCCTTGACAGTGTAGATTTTCTGTACTTTATCTTATGTGAGGCTTTTCTCGCACTAATGATGAAAACTTTTGGAGTGTCTTCACCACTGTAATTGGGAACCAGACTGCACTGTCTCTTAACAGACTGTTAAAGCTTACACGCACATCCCAAAAGTCCACTGACACCAAGTAGTGTCTTTAAACTTCCTGGTATGATGGTTCATTACTAATATTTCCCCACTAAGCCACCCTTAATTCCATCTAGATATAAGTCTCGTGGGCTGTAACACACACAAAAAGCTGTAAAACTCGCCTTTGGGTACATGTAGACTGCCAAGGATTATCCAATCTAACATTTAATAGCCTGACTTAAGCGAAGAGGGAGGTGGGAAGCAGTCAAATCCTTGACTCTCCCTGGGCAGGACAGGGGTACTTTAATTCGTCTAATTAGCTGCGTGTGTCAAAAGCCAGGCAGGCGTCACAATTCGGAAGAGTCTCGGGCCGAAGCGTGGAGGAGAGGAAGCGAACGACACGCTCAGGGACGAGAGATGTTGGCTATTAATAGTTTGCAAGCAGTGTGTGGCCTCTCTCCTCAGAGTAATTGCATTTCCCTGCACTGTAGTGTTTCTCGTGGCGCTTGGAGTTTCATTTTTGTGCGCCCCCCCCCCCGAGTGCCAGTCCTGTTCATCTCCACCATATGAGCGTGGCAGAGGAAAACACAACAATGAACAGGTAGCGTGCATCAAGCTGTCTCCAAGGGTGTGTACATCTTTTTTCCCCTTTCCTGCGAGCTCCCGAGGTAATAAGACATTCTGCAGTTATTGGATTGTTTTGCTTCACTTCCCCTTCTTTTCATGAGAGGAGAGAGACAGAGTAAGATAGTACTGCAGCACCTACGCCGCACGGACAGAGACAACCTCCTCTTCTTCTCTGCGAGCACTCAGCCTCTCTAATGGCTAAATACATCACTTTCACCTTTGTCTAACTGCCCACACCGATAACTTAACACTTTTTGCAGTAGATGTGGCAGCAGAAGGGAAGGCGTTTTAAAGCATCCATGCATTTTGCACTTTCTCTTTGCGATATTTTTATTCTTTGATCGAGTCTGCACGGTCCTCCTTGCAGAAACATCCTGATGTCTCCCAGCTGTGGGTTTGAGCCTTGAGGATGAGGCTGCCAGTGTTTTCCCAGGCGGCGCAACATATTGGTGGCCATCTGCCTCTCTGCATGCAGCACCTTCACACTGAGCCAGGCTGCCCACCCACTGAGTCCAGAGGCCATGCGCGCTGAGCCCTCAAAGTCCCAGCACCTCTCTATTCTGCTTGACCTATTCGACATCTTAAATTAGACAGGCATGTAGGTAAAGCAACGATGCAAGAAACTCCACCAGGTTTAGACCGCAGCGAATGCTTTTAGTATTTAATCCTTTCCAAGATTTTGTCAAAGATACCTTCGATTATCCGGCTGCTTGGCTTTTTTCTCAAAAGCTTCAAATCAAAAATCGCCTTTTCAAAAACAGGAAAGGCGGAAAATCCTGTCATCTGAATCATCTGTCTGTTGTCACTGCATGTGAGTAAAACATGGAATGATGAATATTCCCTAAGGCAGCATCCCGACAAGCAAAAACGAGCCTCTTAAATACGCCGCCTCCAGACATGTGTAGCATTACGTAACGAAGCTGTACAGTGAAATCCGTGGAAGTACCCGCGGTGTTACCGCAGCTATATGTTCTCCTCTACCAACTCGAGAGCCTCTCAGAATGGATGAACATGAACAACGCTGCATAAATAACCTGCTGCCGTGTAGAAGAGCCACAGTTATGACACATGGCATGAAATCTAGGTTTGGTAGCGCTGATTTGACGATCATTATGGGAGATTGTAAAACGCCCCCGCTGCTATCCGAGCAGGCAGAGTGTTTACAGTACGACCGAGTTGTTGCTGGCAATGCACTTCCACCGACTCTTATCTCGCCAAATGCATGTGACACCATCATAGCACAAAATGCCAACGGCATCATTATGAGAAGTGATTTATCAAGATTCAGCCTGACACTTTTTTCCAGGTGAGTGGCACACTCGAGTGTTTATTACAAAGATTTCCTCAGGCTGTCACCAGGCCTTAAAGCTCCACAGTGGCACATAGTTAACAACATGCCTAAAAGGAAAACATTTTTATCAAGCGATGCCGCTACTGTCAACATCTATTTCGCACCTGCTCTTCCGGATTTCTTCCCTAATCTGTTTGCCAGGACATATGAAGGGACGGTGATTAAAAGCAGGATGAAACACGAGACTGGGGGCAGCTTACAGAGGCAGGCTCGTAGCTCATATTTTACCATAACCAAGACCGATCCTGTAGTTAAAGTCTGATCAAATGATCAAAAGAAGCTGTATAATTCTTTTTTTTTTTTCTTTTTTGTTGAGTGGGCTGTCATAGTGCTCGCAAAGGAATAAAGAAGTAATTCGTGGGTTGAGGAGAAAGAACCAGCCCTGGAGAATCAGCCGCTTCTCCCCAGCCGAAAAAATCGACACCATTAACGTCCAATACTGCTGAACCTTTCCAATCAAACAGCAGCTAGTGGAAGTGAAGGCACCATGGGGATGTGGTAATTACACATGTCACCGAAGGCCCTCTTGCTGCCAAAACCATCCACCAAAGGGATTGAAAACTTATTAAAACTTTGCTGGGCTCGGGTTTGCCAGTGTTGGGATACAGTAGTAGGAAGTGGGTCCCGAAGAGACAGGAGCTTGTTGTAAGACAGTAGAAAGAGGCTTCCTGACACCTGACAGTGAAACCAGTGTGTGTGAGGTAGATACACATTCATACAGACCAGTGAGCTGTCAGGAGCCCGTATACGGGTCACTGCCTCTCAGCAAAGTCTTTTTTCCATCTCGCAGAAAGCACACGCAGACTTGCCTTTCTGTAGACGATCATATTGGGGGAGTCCTCCTCGGGATCAGCGGTGCCCGTTCCTCCCTGGTCTTTGGACCCTTCTGCCATTTTCTCTAAATCCTGTCGAGAAAAGCAAACGCACCATTAGAAGACAGCATCCGGCATCCGCTGAAGGGTCGAAGAAAACAAAATGAAAAACGACAAACATCAGACGATAACTGCATTTCCCCCGAGAACCAAAAGTTCTCCAGCCTTTATCGGAGTGACATTCAGCTGTCAAAACGCATGCTGCTGTCTCAAAAGCAAAAAAAAGAAAGAAAAGAGGACGCCTGTCATAGCAGAGGCAGATAAAAGGGCCCAGGTAGGCCGATGTAGGATGAATAATAAATAAGCCACAAAGCCAGATCGTGAACACACAATACCTTAACCTCAGCGGGTGTTTCTGCAGTTGCCAGGGGCTGTGCGAGAGGTTGCCGTGTAGCTCTGTTTAATTTGAAAAATAAAGACTGTAACTACATAAATAAAGTCAGTGCTAAGGATGTGGTAACAGTTGAGCTGGGAATGCTCAACAGTTTGTGGATAAAGGTTGAAATAAATAGCTGGAAATAATGGAAGGACAACTGGAATAGTTAATAATTAGCTCAAAGGAAATACTCAAAGTAGCCCAATGAAGAAGCGCTGATGTGGAAGAGTAGTGGGCTCAATAGCATAACAAAACACTGACGTATGCAGACAGGTAGATGCACAAGATATTAGCAATTAACACTATTAGATAACCTCATCTGAGTTCATCTTATATAAAACTGCCACTGCAGTAAAGTGTGTCAGCAAGGAGGAATCAGGAAGGCACTAATTATGTATAAAGCACAGATGTCGGTGTCCTCAGCACACAGTGAGTGCGGCTGCGACGTTGATGACTCATCTTAACAGAAAGCTGATGTTCATAATGAATGAACCTTCACCGAGGTGATACCGATAGTGGCTTTGAGCGTGGTTAGCGCTGGCCACTGTGTTTGTTGTTGTTTTTATGCTAAGCATAAGTAAATGTTGACTCCATTAGCTGCAATCATACAATGGTTACCTCTGATCTGCCTGCACTCCCAACATTAACCTCCCCCAGGCTTCATGCTGTGAGAGCTGCTGTTAAGGGATTTATTTACTTTCTCTAAGCAGACACACACACACACACACACACACACACACACACACACACACACACACACACACACACACACACACACGGAATTAATTCTGCTTAAGTAAGGATTTTCATAACCTGGTGACTGGTGCTTCACCAGCCCTCTCAGCTCCTTTTGCATTCGAGGTACCTGTATAATGTAAAATGGCTTTTTAACCACTTGCTGGTCCTTTAATTGGGAGGTAAGACTGGTGAGGAAGTAGATCACATAGTTTAACACATCCTTAATTTTTGGTGTGAGAGAAGAAAGCTGCAATTCATTGTTGTTGACAGTTATTCGTGTTTAAACAGAGCTGTGATAAGCTACCGAGGGGCAAAGAATAGTGGATACAGATGGCATTTTATGACAGGGACACGTGAGCGTGCTCAAATGAAACCTTCATACATTAAACCTGCAGCTGGCATGGGGGATTTGGAGTGGCTGTATTATATAATTGCAACTCGCAATGTTACAACTTACTTCAACTTTTGAAGACAATAGCCGTGACGGAGACAGGAGGGGGGGATCATCGGTGTTACCGGTTCGAACGGCAGCAGCCGTGCAAGGTGGCTTCGTCACTGTAGCTTTCATTTATTACACCGTAGAGCATGGTGATGCGCATGAGTGAATAAGTAATCATCCGCTCTTGCCTCACTGTTTGTTATTGCCACCAGAAGTGCAGAGTGCAGCACTCCTCATTGGCTAACACGTCTGTGCTCTTTTTAGAGTCTGAGCACATTAGACAGCTAATCTTTGCGCCCGCCTCAAGGGTCGTACACAGACAGAGGCGGTATGGATTGCATAGCACCTGTTCGAAGAAAACAATAGTGTACCAGTAGTTCAAAGCTGTAATTCTGGAGAGCAACTTCTTTCTAATGAAGCTGCTCAAACATGCAAACCCACAGACGCCTGTCCAAGAGAAACAGATGAAACAGGCATACTGAGAGCTGCTGAAAGAAACCCAAGTGGGCCACATATGCCCTCATGTACACCACATGTGTGTATGTATGTGTGCGTGTGTGTGTTTCTACCCATGCATATCCACAAATCTAAGCACGCAGCAAAATCCAATTCATGAGGAAACACAAAAGGACATTGCACACACACACACACACATTCACAGAGGCAGACCCCCTGTGATGCCCGGTCAACTGAAACAAACTGGAATAAAACTGGCAGAGAGTTTGCAGAAAGAGCCACGCAACAAGCCGTGCTCCAGTTACAGCCAGAGCCATAAAAACAGCGAGTCCCAAAGCCCTCTTCACTTGAGGCAGGCGAACGTCTGCAGTGCAACATCTGTGACACCTGACAGTTGCTGATACTGAAACGTTTTATTACCTTAACAACAAAATATCGCCCGGTCCACTCGGCTCCCCCTGGCTGGCTTCCCCTTAGCAACAAGCAGCAGGCAGGTTCATGGTATAATTGGCACAGGGAGAGAGAAGGGGATGGAAGCAGTGGAGCAGCGAGAAAAGAGAGAGAGAGAAAGAAATACAGAAGGGAAAAGAAGCTGGTTGGCCACTGCAGTATTCCTCTAGTTCTCCTCCTCTTCTTCTTCTTCTCTCTTCACCAGCCCTGCCTTGCCCCAGCAGTTCAGGAGATCCTCATGAATGCACCTCGTTCATCCCCCCTCTCCCTCTGTCTGCATGTGCACGACTCAGAGCGAGAGCAAAAGAGAGAGTGTGTTAGGGAGGGAGGGAGGGAGGGAGGGAGATCAAGTTGAAAAAAAGGGGGGAGGGATGAAGGAATTAAAGAGAATATAAAGAGGAAAACAGAGGGAGGAGAAAGACGGGCAGGAAGAGAGAACGAGAGAGGGTGTGTGTGCGTGAGAGAGAGAGAGAAGTGGATGCACAGCACAGAGAAAAGGAGGACAGAGAGATGCACACTGCAGCAGCAGCGCCCACTGATGCTGAAAATAAGAAACATTTCATTAAGCGGATATTGAAATGCTAATATAAAAACAAGTTAGTGAGCACACACTTACACACACACGCACAGACGCTGGCTATAAATACATATCCCAGACTCTTTGAGCAAGCAACCTCAGAGAAAATGCTTTCATTATGCATTCAAAGCTCATGTATGAGAAGCCGCCCGGGTCCCAAAATTAGACTTTTTCTTGTATTTCTTAGGGGGGTGGGGGGGTGTTTCTTTTATCACGGACAAAGTCCACTTTCCATGTCCTCGAGTACGCCGAACATCCTCTCATGTTTCTTCCTCCACCCATTCAACCCATTCTAAATGCATGTTCTCCTCCCGTCCTCTCTTCATGTAGACTCATTCAAGCTTAAATGGCTAACCCAAACGAATGAACCTTTTTCTTTTTCCCCCCGTCCGCCATAAATTAGATCCCAAAAGCCCCCGAGAAACACAGCCCAGAAATACATGGCATGGCCAATTTGTGAGTGCACGCGTGCAGAGTGTGCGCACACACACACACACACACACACACACACACACACACACACACACACACACACACACACACGTCTGGGTTTGACAAACCCGGTTCACCAGCTATCAAGGAATTGTGTAGCCTGCTCCTCTTCACTGCACTTTTCCTTCTGTTTTTTCCACAGCGTGCTGCTTGGCACGGACCTCTCCTCGTTGCTTTTTGAAAATATTTGAGGAAGCTTCAAAATGTTCTTCACAACACGCAGCTTTAATCAAGCCTGAGAGATAAAAAGTCGCACTTCTCATTATTAGAAGTACAATTTGTTCGGTGTGTGTTTCTTCAGGCAAAGAGCAGATTAAAATTTGAACAACCCGAAGCTGCTACTGTTCTCTGTAAATGTTGTAACCAAGGGAAACTGAGGTCACAGATACTCACCCTTACCCTGCACATTTTCCCACTACTTATAGACAGGGAAAGAGCAGGAGTGTTACATCCTCCCAAAACTACAAAACTACTATGATAACTACACATTTACCCTTTTTGTACATCTGCAGTGATACATAACACACCTCGCCCGCAGAATACAAACTGCATATGATCCATGCTGTATTCAGTACCATCTTTAACAAGGTGACAGACAGGCAGCCGGCAGACAGGCAGGGACTCTAATCTGCTTTGAGGGGGCCAGTCCTGCCATAATCTGCATTAATGCTAAATTATTGAACAGCCTGCTCAGATCCACACTACTGCCAGAGACCAACAGTGCTAGCCACACACAACACAGCAAGGATCTCGCTTGCTTTTAGAGAGACTTAAGAGGAATGTTTTTAGGCTTTTTGCCAGATTTTACACCTAAATATGTGGAGATACACAGAATAGATTCATTATTTAAAGAAATTATTGTGGATACATTTGCTGTTTTTTAAGGCTGTCTGAAAATATTATTTGCATTACTATTGGTACCATGGGAGTGTCATGCTAGTCTACAGTACTGTGCAAAAAAACCTCTCAATAATTAGTATAACCACCTTTATTCTACAAATCCTGAACTCTCTTCCACAAGCTTTGTTCAGTTTATTTAAGTAGTCTTTAGGAGTAGTTCTCTGGGGTTCTTGAAGGACTTTCCCACACAGCTTCATTATTGCTAAGGTCTGGGCTCTGAGGAGGCCGTTTTTGGGTGTTTTTCTGTTCAGATATCATCTTACTGCATGACCACTGAGATTATTGTCATGCTGAAAATGAAGTTGATATTAAAGATGCTTTCTAGATGATCAGCTACAAGAACTGAACTGGAACATGAGGGAAAGGGCAGCCAATGTCCAAAGACAACATTTGAAAGACTTCAGAAAGCCTAGAGAACTGTTGCTCAAGACCGCTTTAAGTTACAAGAAAATCTGCTTGGAGGTAAAATATAAAGAAACGAAGGGCGGCTCAAGACTTTTGCACAGTACTGCATACGCACTACTAGCCTTGCATGTCTGGATGCAGTTTTAAGATAACAGTGACATTAAGAAAAAGTGAAATATTTATAGGGTATAATGTTAATAATACATAATTATCAATTATGTAAATGTTCTTGTTCGTTTTAGGTTTAGTTATGTTACAGAGGCCTAATCTGTACACTCAACAACACGGCCTCCAATCACAAAACAAAAAGATGAATTTGACTGCTGGATATATATATAGTGTGTGTGTGTGTGTGTGTGTGTGTGTGTGTGTGTGTGTGTGTGTGTGTGTGTTAGCGATTAGCTATGAATTCTTTTAAACATGACAATTTTGTTAACATCTGATCCAAAATAGCCCAGGAAGATCAGTCCTAAGCAAATGCGGCTTCAGCAGTCTGTGTAGCACACTGTCATCATCTTACACTGATAGTCTTTCAAATACAAATTCCCTCTCCGCCGCCATGCTAGCAGCAGAGCTGTCATTGCCGGGTAGACAGCTACAATATATGAATTTTCATGACTTTTGCGATAATCAAATCAGAAGCAGAGTCCACCCCACTCTTATGTCCCAATAGTGCCAACAATATAAACATTAACAGTTGAGATGTTCAAACACTACAAGAATCATATTTAGCTCATCTAAATGTCACTGCTAAAGGCACATAAGACTAGATCATCTTTCACATTTGTTTTAACTGGATTCACAAAACAAAGGGACTTCTAAGGCCAGTGTGGCCAAGAGAAACTACTTTAGTGATGATTCCTTAGCAGTGGCTCAGTAGCCAGAAACCTGCAATCTCAGCAGTGACTATGTTTTTGCTACCCCTACCTTAGCTTTGCCATTAACCAGGGTAAAGCGCTTCATATGTCTCCGAGCAGACTGCTCTCTCACTTGTCATATTAGTAAACAACACTTGATGGCACTAACAATAGTCGTGGCAAAAGTACAGAAATCTTATACTTCATCAGACGTACAGATACAACTGTCTAAAAACAGCCCAGCAAAAGTTAAAGTACTGATTCAATTTCTTTACTCAAGTAAAAGTTAAAAAGTACAGGGTCTGAAATCTAAGTAAGTAAGTAAAAGTAGCTCTTTGAATTATGTTTCTACCAGCTGTTTTTGTGTTATACTAATGTCATGATAAATCTTCTAATATTAGAAGAGGGGAATACAAATTTTACTTTAATTTCTAAACAAAAAAAATGAGGAAAATTTTAAAAAGAATCTTTATTTTCTGATGCCTACATTGTAGAACCTGATTGAACAAGATGTTTCATGACTTGTCCTGGCTGATTTACATCCTCTTCACTGACAGTAACCGGTTATGCTGTCTTTTTTTCTAGATGCTATAAAGTTGGAATTCATCATCAGCTAAAATTCACATGAATCTCTTCCACACTTGATGTATCTTTGACCATGAGCACTGCAGCCACTGTGCACTAACAAACTGTTCTTCGCCTTAATTTCATCACAACACTGATCTGTGTTAACCCCAGACTATGGCACGCGATTTTGCATCTTTCATCTCTTCTTTATGCGACGTCCCCTGGTGATTAATACACGAACCAGACTTTCTTTTATTTGTTCCTGTTTAGCCTTAAATTGGTTTGATGTTTGAAGGCCCACAAATTGGTTAAACCAAAAGTAACAAGCCTGCTTTGAAAATGTAAAAGTACAGATATTTTTTAAAATGTAGGGCGTAAAAGTAAAAAGCTATCAGAAAAAAAAAAACCTCAAGTATAGATAATTGAAAATTCTACTCAAGTACAGTAACAAAGTATTTGCACTTGGTTACCAGCTCTCTGACTGGTTTAAGCCATTCAAAGCAGCACATCACTTGTAAAGATGTCTTATTGGTTAAAAATAATAGAGTGCTACCAAACATTAAAAAAGACACCACCATCCCTTATTTTAATTTTACAATACAAAAGTAAGCATTAATATCTATTCCATTTCTGCAGTCGCTGATTAAAAACAGGCAGAAATACAGTGGGGCAAAAAAGTATTTAGTCAGCCACCGATTGTGCAAGTTCCCCCACCTAAAATGATGACAGAGGTCAGTAATTTGCACCAGAGGTACA